GTAATCAGTAAGATAGTTGTCGAAGCCAATTTTCCAAAATTTCGAAATGGCGGCCTCGGCAACAGACAATTAACTTTTTCGCGCTTTACCGAGAATTTAAATTGTTTTATATTTTACAAGCTTTCATTTAACTTGACCTGTTTAAAATTTCAGTTCACTTATAACAAGTTACATAATTATGTCTGTGAGGGGACCAAAATCCGAAAAAAAAGACTTTAGCAAGAAATGTGACATAACACCGTTATCCACTTATGTCTTCAATTATATAGAAATTTGAAAACAAAATTTCTAAAAAGTAGAAATGTTTAAGCGATAATGAAGCTCATTCATCTCAGGTTTTCAAACAAAAGCATCTTACGTGTGAGCAGATCGATAAAGGGTGTAAAACTTAAGATGAAGGAGCTTCATTATCGTTTAAACATTTCCAATCAGCAAAAAACGTTTTTAAAATTTTAGTTCACCTTATGAAATGCATGTTTTTAAAAATGTATTTTTTATTTTATCGATTCACCTTCCTCTCGTATTGGTGTGCTTAAAGAATTTGTGCAAACATATTGTTTGCCTCTTGAGGTGCTTGAAATCAGCATATGCGTAGGGGAAATGTGCCTGAGATGGCATACTTTTTTTTTTGGTACTATAATGTTTTTCTTTATGGCCAAAAAAATATTTTTATGTGGGAATAAATAAAGCAAGTTTTCACAAAACTTAAAAGGTTTTTCTATTACCAAACGAAAAAATTTATTTTTAAAAATAAACATGGTATGCCATCTCATGAAAGTAACTATTGATGAGATGGTATAGTAATGATAAAAATATGAAACTAGCTACAAATTTCACATTTTCTAGATTTTGTAACCTTTTTTCCAGCCTTCCTCCTTACTTGCCCTACGTCTTAAAGTCCCAAAAGGGACATTAAACGTTTTTGACGCTAGAAGCCATACGTTTCGCCTTTACAGCTAAGGTCGCTTCCTGCGTATTATTTTCATCCCATGACTCTCTGTTTGACTTTCTTTTGTAGCGACACATGTCTAAAAAAACATTGTTTCAAATTAATAATTAAGTTGCTGAGATGGCATACCATGCCATCTTATAAATTTTTACTCAAACCCATTTTAAACTAGATATTTGATAACCTAGATATAATATTCAATAAATTCTCTATCTAAAAGTTACAATAACATACCTTTAAGTTACTCCCGTGGCCCACCAAACTATTTGCGAACGACACGTAGAAATATTTTGAGTAAACAAAAATGTGACTAACGTACTTTTCGACCACTCAACGGTAACTGTCCTGCTTCCGATTAACGCAATAGTTTGAGCCGGTGGCTTCAAGGGGTCGCAACAAAAGGCGCGTAATTTTAAATCTATGTACATTAAACAGCGGCTATGCCAACTCAGCAAGTATGCCATCTCAGGCACACTTCCCCTACTTTTTTTAACATAGTACGTCCCACTTACAATGAGAAACATACTTTCATGTATTTTTCAGTATTTTTGAAGCAAGGTGATTAAAAAAATATTGATAAAGAATAAACATGTATCTCGCCATACAAAAAAAAGTTGTGACAAGTATCGATTTTATATTAAAAAGTGAGGAGAAGGAAAAATGGCACAGTGTTTCTGGGTCTGTAGCTGAATGAATGCCTCAGACCTAGAGTCTCACATATGGAGCCCTAACAAATGCTTTGGAAATTTTGTGATGGACAAATAACCAACAGATCACGCTTTCACAATATTTTTGCTTCGTCCATCATGAAAAATAATGGTTCTCCTGAAAATTGGCAAAACCGCCCAGAACATGATCAGTATTTTGTACCATTCGGAGGGCAGGTCTACTTTTTGTGCGATTTCTCAAACTACCTACGTTTAGGTTTAGGGTGCCTATTAATTTAGTTTTCACGGATGCATTGTAGAATTGATTTTCGTGAAAAAAAAGTAGTGTTGATTTGAAGAAAAATTGAGAATTTTAATTTTCAAATTTCCATGTGCGTTTCGTATAGGTAACTTTCGCTCCCTCTGGTAGGCTTAATATGCCCCGGCCACGGAATGTGATAGATAGTGTGATAACACTGACAACACACAATGTATATAATTTTGTGTAGATACTATAACACCGTTTTACATGGGAAGACGGTGCCGCACCGCCTGCTTACGCTGCGCCGGCTTCGCGGCTGTAGCGACGCGCGATGGTGTCCAGCGCGATGCGGCCGCTGGTGAGAAGAGGGACTATCGTTTGTTGCTGGCTGCCAGTTGTTGCTAGTCACCGCGGTTAGGTCATCAATGCATTATTCAAGCAAATGGCTATGAATAGAGGACGTTGTTTAAGCGAACCAAAAAGATTATTTGTTGCAAACAAAGACGATCACGGGTATTATAAATATGCTTCCTAATTTGGAGTTAATATCTACAAAAGATGTAGGTGCCAAATGCTGCATGCCAAAATTGTACCATCTTTTTGGAGCAATGGTGACCATAATGATGATTGTTATTTATGTATGGTTTACATTACCGGTATAAGCTCTGCAAATCATGACCGAAAATGAAACATTATACACAGGACCGCATTTAAAGGGAGGTCTTCTATGTAACGTTTTTTCCTCAAGCGCTTCATTGAAAAGATACGGGGTAACGTACACCAGAGGCGAAGATACAGGGAATTAGTGGCATTATTTTTCCAAATAAAAATAGTACGCCACTGTATTTTTTTTTCGAAACGCGATATATTCCGAATTTTACCTTCAATTTGCTACAAATATTTAATGTTGTGTTTTTCTCTTAGAGTGCATTGTTTCCATAAAAATAAAAAACAAATTAGATAAGAGAGAGCTTTATTTCAATAAATGGTGGGGCACCGTCGTGCTGATGCCACATTCGTACTCTCGTTGCTAACGAAACATCATCTAACACATTTTCTATGTAATTCTCTAGAAAAGCTAAGTATGAGTTTACATTTAAACGTTGTGGCAATACGTGCATAAACAGTTGGCCATTGATAATGCCGCATCAGACATTTCTAGAAATATGTGTTGAAACGAGTGGCTTCTTACAGAATTGGGATTTTCTCACGACCAAATATGTTCATTATGCGAATTAAAGGTTCCACTCCTCGTAAAAAGCGATTCATCTGACCACAAAACCAAACCAATAACATCTGCCTTTTGATTATGCATTTGCAGTAACCACTCACAAAAAATTTTCCGTTGCACTTCGTCGCCAGGTTGCAGACATTGCACATTTTGCCGATGGTAAGGATGTAAAATAAAACCCGATTTAAAATTCTCCACGCAAGACTTTGAGAACATGATAACTGGGCTGAAATCCGCCTAGTACTTGTACTAGGATCAGCCAACGCCAAATTAATCACTTCCAGTTCCTCTTGAACAGTATGCCGGACACCATGACGTCTAGCTCCGGGAAGTTTGTCAATTCCATATTGCCGAAGTCTTAGAAAGAACGCGTAAAAACCTTTGGGGTGGGTTGGCGTCTGATAGGAAATCTACATTGATACTCCCGAGAAGCCGCTAAGGCATTTCCATTACAGAACCCGTACACAAAATAATATTGCCGTACTCATCATTGCTAATTTCCATTTCACAACACTCAAAAATAGGAAAAAGAAACTTTTGACTTGACTTTTACAAAAAAAAATGGTGGTAGTAACGATTAGAACAGAGTTCCCGCATTGAAAAAAAATAAGAGGGATAAAATAACAAAAAGTGAAAAATAATAAAAAAAAAAAAATTTTTACTTAAAATAGTACAATAAGCGAGTTCGCTTATTAATTATAACATAAACGTATGTTCTACAATAATTTCACTGTTAGTTTGATTAAATTCCGCTTCTTATACGTTTAAGTTATCTAAAAATAGGCAAAAAATTAACGAATTTTAGTGTAAACCTATCCTTGAATTTTCAGAATAATTTAAAAAAAATATTTTCTATAAAGGGGGGTTCTTTAAAAAAATCAATGCGGGCACTTATTCCCAATGCGGGCATTTATTGGTCAGACACCAATAAACATAAAATAAACTATAAATAAAATAACATAAGCAATAAGTCAATATTTTTAGTGAGAAGGATGAACCTGATGCTTTAATAATAAATTATCAACATTTGGCGTCAATTTTGTAAGGGTTAATCTTAAATCTCCTCGGTTAATGATGTCCAGCCTGTTTCTTTTTTTCGTTAGGAGATTGGTAACAGCGCTCAACCCCCTTTCCACTAGGTATGACGATGGAAAGGAAATTAAAAATTTCCTCGCTATATTCCATAATACGGGATAAGTAACGGGTATGTTGCTTTGCAGCCAGAATTGCTGATATCCGTTTTTAAACTGAACCTTAAGTTCTTCGTTTGTACTTAGTTCAGTCAGTTCCTCTTATATTATGACATTCGTTTCTTCTATGTCACCATATGGATTAATTATCCACGGTGGTATTACCCTAGTCAAAATATCCTCAAACCTAGATTCAAAATCTGAATAGAGGGCATTTAAATTAAATGTTGAACGTAAGTTGAAACGTCGTCTTCCTGGCAGCTTGTCTGTGACAAATTGGGGAACTGAGAAAATTCGCCCCGTCCAATATTTTGCTTCATTAGTTTAACTCTGGCAAGAAACGCTGATAAGATGGACTTTATTTTAATCAAATTTAAACTGTCGCCTTGCAATTGCAAATTAACCATATTAAATTTTGTAAACAAATCTGTTAAATAGGCGATGTCTGTTTTCCTCTTCATTAAATTTTCTTTTAAAATTTTATCTTTAGTATCCAGAAATTCTAAAATAGTCTCAAAAAGTGCAAAAACTCTTGTCAAACATAAGCCTTTCGACAGCCAGCGTACTTCAGTGTGAAGGAGTAATTGATGAAAGTGTTCGTCATTTTCTTCACACAACTGCGCAAATAACCGCGTATTCAACGCGTTGCTTCGGATTCGGTTTACTGCATCAATGACTAAATGAAGTGATTCATGCAATCTAACACTCAAATTTTTAGCAACTAAATGTTGTCGATGGAAACGCAATGTATTGCTAACACCCCTGACACATTTTGTTTTAAATAGCTTATAAATCCACGATAACGTCCAACCATGGCAGGTGCTCCATCTCTAGCTACTGATATTATATTTGATAAAGGAATTGCTTTCTCAATGAAGTAATCCTTCAAAACATGAAATATTGATTCACCTTTAGTGTCGGTTATCAACATTCTTGCGAAGAGCAGTTCTTCGTAGATTTCTTGATTCATAATAAAACGAACATATGCCAATAATAATGCTGCATTATCAGGTAAAGGTGACTCGTCCAGTTGTATAGAGAAATGGGTCGTTTGCAAATAATTACATAAGAAGCTTTCAATATCAGAACTCATTTCATCAATACGTCTTTCAACAGTATTGTTGCTTAAGGGAATTCTTTTAATGGTATCAGATGCAGGTTTGTGTAAAACAGTTTTTAAAACCTCTTCAACGGCTGGCAAAATTAACTTCTCTCCGATAGTATGCGGTTTTCCGGATTTTGCTATAAGTAACGAGATATTGTAAGACGCCCGCAAACCATCATCATTTCTTTGTGACGTCGAAGCGAACATTCTGTCCAGTGTAGGTCTCTTCTGAAATTTATCTTTGAGTGTTTGAAAGTATTTCAAATCTTTCTCTGTTTTATCAGGGTGGCATCTTCTCAGATGATCTTGCAGTTTAGATGGTTTCATAGCGTCATTGCCCAAAACTTTGTTGCATAAAACGCACATAGGCGATTGTTTGTCCGGCAATGATGGAATGAAGCCTAATTTCAAATAATCAACACTGTACTGTCTACATTTCTTTTTAGATTTGGACATGGCATCAGTCATCTGTGGGCAAAATTAAATTATTTAAATAAGACAGAAAATCCAGCAGCTGTATATTAAAAATATTTTTTGATTTTTCCGAAAACAATCCATAATTCGAACATCTTCTTGCAACAATTAGCTCGAATTACGGAGATTGCACTGTAATTATATTACCGATTGCTAAAACTTTCAAAAAGAAACTATTGAGGAGTACTCGTCTAATTTTGCATGATTGAATATTTAACTACTAATAACTAAAGTCATGATTGGCGTAATTTATCTATCTTTGCTAACTACGAGTACAAAACTAAAATTTAATAAAAAATAATGGACTTACTTCTCTCCTGCACTCTCAAACAAAATAACTCACTATAATTTGTGTGATATACTGTTTATATTTCTTAAAATATTTTCTTAGCACTTTCCTTTTCAAGATTCAGGAAACGAATAAACGTATTTGTCCCACATTCGTATTTATAGAGTGACGAATTGAACAAGTCAGTGCAAGGCAGCGAAGCTCTGAGACTGCGACTCTCAGGTTTTTACAAGTTCAAAATGTATTGCGACCACAAAGCGAATACCAACATTCTACAACTTACACAATTTTATAAACATATATAATAAATTTTTTACTTCATAGGTACTTTTATAAATAATGTATATGTTTTGATATTATAAGATAGTATGATGTAAGTAAATAGGTACTATCAATGTATGTGTTGAGATCCACTATCGTGGACCCCCATATTCATTTCATGGACCCCCAAATTTTTTTTCGCTGACGTAGACCCCTTGCAGGTTGTCATAGACCCCTAGGGGTCGATATAGACCACTTTGGGAATCAATGGATTAGAACATCAACATCAAGTTGGTATTAAGTCCTCGTATTTTATTTTGAATTTTACGAAAACAGTACACTCTAGGAAAATAACACAAGAGTAATTATTCGTAGCAAATTGAAAGTAAAACTCTAAAAATTGCGCGTTTCGAAAAAAAAACAGTGGCGCACTATTTTTATTTGGAAAAATAATGCAACTAGTCCGCTGTATCTCCGCCACTGGTGCACGTTAATTTTTAGTAAAGACTTTTAAATGTGAACAATACTTAGGTAAATCCACATGCCAAATTTTAGTTCATTCCAGACGGTTTTGAAGATGTTCAATAAAATTATTGCTTAGTTTTAAATTTCAACGTATCTTTTTTTTTCATGAAGCCCTCGACGAAAAAATGTTACAAGAGGACCCCCCTTCAAATGCGGTCCTGTGTATGATGTTTCATTTTTGTTCACGACTTGTGAATTACCCTGAACCATTACCAGTGCCAGTAAAATCGGCATCATCACCATGTTTCTAATGTGACAACATGAAAGCTGAATAAAAACTTGAATCTGACTCTGATTTCGTGGACTAAGCAAAGAAAGGTAGAAAGCATGCGTTTTAAATGGGCCGCAAATTAGTCAGCTGCTAAAAGACCCAAATTTCGTCGAATCTGTGAACGAGCTTGAAAAGCTTAAATTTCGGTGATGCAAAATTATCTTGGGAATCATAAATCAGAAAACCGATTCACCAATTACTTGTTTATGTTTTGTCTAATTTGAAACTAGGGTGTAACATGAGCATCAAGCTATACACTACATACATTATCATTTGGATAGATTTTCGAAAAACTGTTGAGGCTATAGAGAAGAGCAAGGTCAAAGGTATGACCATTCGTAAGAAAGGAGGAAGATTACCAAAGGTTGTGGGATATACATATTTGCCCATTTAATATGGTGGATGATTAGTGCTGGAATCTTCATCAGTATCTAAAATGAGTTATTCTCCAAAAAATCTTATAAAATTTATGTTTTCCTCATCCATGGTAACTGCTTAAAATGAAGTGTGTATGAGTCATACTTTTGTAACCAACAATTTAAAACTAGAGAAAATCATGAAAAATTGTTTGGGAAATTTTTCATTGCGAACCAGTACAATCATTCCAAGATACCAAACTTTTTTTTGACAGGGAAAAGCTTTTATAGCCACTCTCAGACAACTCGACAGTATTGCCCTGCCGGTCCTTCATCCCAGAAGTGTGAGATTCGCTATAAATGCGAGGAAATCTTTAATATATGGGATCAACCTTCTGGTCTCTGCCCGATGGCCAGAAGAAACTCATCTCTCCTGCAATGTGCCTCTCTTTGGTCGCTTGCAGCTTCGACACCCTTTTTATAGAGCGCACATCTCTCCGCAGCCAGCAAATCCATTGGCGGGATACCAGCTACCACCAGCAGTGCAGCGTTCGACAGCGTGCTGTAAGCGCATACCACGCGCAGCACTACTTTTCGCTGGCTTCTCAATTTTAGCTGTTTTTCCTCAATACCTTGTTATACTTAGTAGCTCCATATAGCCAAAATAATGAAATTAGCTTCTCTCTGCCAGAAAGTATAACTACTTCTCAGGAGCCAACTTCAAGCCATTTTCTTCCATCCATATGGTAATTCTCGTGATTCCGTATGCCAGAGTCCTTCAAGTGTATGTCTCAATGATACCAAACTTGGAGTTACCATGAACACGCCCGGCCGCTCTCCATTTTGCATTTGCCGATGCCCTCGTTTTTATAAACTCCCTTCCTCAAAATTTCAGTTTCATATTCAGTTACTACAAAATTGGCCAATATTTCAATTCTGCTCCTAAAAATAGGTCAAACCTCGTACACCCAGAACTGATCGGTATGACTACTCCTTTGTTTCTAATCTACTGAGAATCTGGAAAAATCTGTCACAATAGCGTTTCTGGATTAGCAAGATGTTTTCAAATTGCATAGCAGTCGCAGTACATCAGTACTTAAATTTCGTCCTTGTGGCCATTCCAGTATGAAAAACCTCTTCAACAATGATATGCCCTTCCCGTTACCTTTATTATGAAATGTGTTGCAAAATCGTTCAACTATTTATAGATTTTCGCATGATGCGAATCCGCGAATAATGTGCCGACACACCCTGTATTATCTGTCAACAATAGCTTGACGTGTAACCAACATACCAAAGAGTGATTTACATACTTTTGTTATCTGCTACAGATATACCGCTTATAAAAAATCTATTCGGCCTCAAATATTTACCTCGCTTAGACTGCCGGTCCTATCGGGAGTACCTTCTAATCTTCGTCGATAAAACGACCACTGATAAGTTTCAATTTGACCATAAGAATGTCATATCTATAAGTTCGAATACAACAATAGAAGCTAGTTCTCTCGATATGAAGTTCAGTACTCTCTGTACAAGTGTTGTTGCCTATGTATTTTTTGGCAGGTAAGTTTTTTATTGTAGATAAAGTAGTCCGTTGTCGGATCAGCCTTTAGACACAGTCATTTGATCTAATTACTCAAATATCCCAAGCGTACTGAACTTAGGTCTAAAATAGTGCAAAGTTAGAAAAAAAACGGTATAGTTGCCGTCACCGTTCTTGGCGGGACGGCACGGGTATCATGTGAAAAACCTATAAAACGTCAAAAAAAACCTATAAGATGTCATCTTGCAGACTAGGTAGTTTTTAGGATTAGGACGCAAACAGCGATTCCACGTTTGCTCACTAGGATCGTTGTGAACGTCCATCTATGGAGGAATCACTCAACTAAACTATATATACGCATTATTGGTTGCATATGTTTGGTGAGGCCGAGTGGTGCGTGTCTGTAGTTTTTATCTCTGAGAAGAAAGTTGGTCGAATAGCAAGATCGCATCTGGATGATTATGTGTATTGGTCTGCATGTGTATAAAATCGGTGTTATTTGCTGTGTGAGAAAATCGTTACTGAATATGCTGTGCCCGACGGGTTATTTATATGTTGTCCCTTCTGAAAACAGGTTTTGTTCAAAGTTTTACGGAACTTTGAGGAGGATTACGGGAAATCATCACCGCGCCTCCGTTGTGTGTAATTACTATTAGCATGTACGAGTATATGGCTTGTAATTCGACAGTGTACAGTGAATATAATTATTTTTTGAATCAGCAAATTTGCATATGTAATTTCCAGAATGGATATGAAAAAGTGGATGCGCAACTAATTTCTAGCTTTGAATCTCAATTAAGTGTATTTGAGACAAGAATCCAATGGAATTATTATCAACAGGTACAACTTACAACTTAGACCTCCAGTAATGCCGTCTCTGGAACAGACTTCACATCACATCAGAGCCAAACATTGATAACTGAATACATATAATCATCCAGATGCGATCTTGCTATTCAACCAACTTTCTTTCTTTCACATCTCAGAGATCAGCACTACAGACTACTCGGCTTCACAAAATATATATCCACTTGCTTTCTGCAGCCCACAATGCGTGTAGTTGAGTCTTCCCTCGTTAGATGGACGCTCACAGCGATCATAGCGAACAAACGGGGAATGAACTATTTGCACTCTAAAAACTACCTAGTATACGAGATGCATTTTACTGTTGTTTTTTATGTTTTATAGGTTTGTTCACATAATATCCGTGCGGGACCGTGTTTTGGGGTCCATATTGACCCACAAGTTAACCCCTGCGAACTAGACCCGCCACTTGATTCATTTCCATAATAATCATTCATTCACTATACTTGGAAGCGGGAAACCTTTCTTCTAACAGATCATGTAGGTTTTTTGTCATGGACTCTTATACCATTCGGAGTATTGCACGACAGTTCATAACTTATTTAGTATAATTCAATTAGCTGAGCTGCAAAAACTGCAATCGATTGGAATGAGAGTTATCTGGAGATGTAATAGTTTGACACTGAAGTCGATCTTAAATAGATTGATTACATTTTTATTAGTATGGCAGAGATTCTTCTGGTTCTAAACCAGTCATACAGGGTGTCCAATAAGTACCACAACAAACTTAAGGAGATGGTAGGCTTTGGACTAGCCTCCCAAATAACAAAAACTTACCTATAT